TCAGATGCACTAACAGTTGTCCTACGGACTGTGCGCCAATCTGTTGGATCATTCGGTACCAATAAAGGGCACGTTACGTACAGCGTAACTCGCCGGCGAAACCGACAGAGTGTCTCCTCATTGCCGCCGCGATAATGTTCTCCCGGTGTATTCGTTGCAACGACACAATGTTTTGTAAAACGTGCAATATCCATCTTTGCGATAACACCACCGCACCTACATGTTGTCGGAATACATGATATCCGCAATGACATGTTACGATATTTACATGTTGTCCTCCGCAGCGTACAGCGCGCCATAATTTTCATTTTGTATTTTACAGTACGCTAAAGTGAACTTCCATGTTCGACTAGCAGTATATTCTCTATTCCGCGACCTCATAATTCTCTCACAATTAATGTACTCCGCGAGGTTTTCTTTAAATCGGTTCGATCTCTCAGATGGATCGGCAAGTGTCCTGTGAACGTACTCGTTAGCAAATCTTCACAAAGATCTTTGATCTTTACAAAATAGGTATGGTAGGCAGATTTTACGAATAAAACTCACCGTGTTTTACCGATAACAATGTAATAATAACAATAATTATGTACGCTCTTCATTATTGTACTCAACTGTTAATGTGCCGCCGGAGGCTGACGGAAAAAGCGAAAACGGCACCTTCGGCGAAAATAATATCGTTAAGTATGTCCTGTACACCGAAGCCAGCGCCCGTACTTGTAACCGTCCTCGGTCTATTGTATGTAAATGGCGGAGACGAGCATAGTGCACGCGAAAAAATAAATAAATATTAGAAAAATAATTCACCTTCATTGTGTTCGAGGGGCGAGGAGTGTACATAATATGAGATCGTCGGAGATAGTGAACAATATGTTATTGTGTGTACTTTATTTTTCAATATTCCCCTCGCCTACCGCAGAAGCATAAACTTTTCTCGGACAGACGGAATAAAACGGCCGCCTCGGGGTGAACAGTAAAATGTCTATTTACATATAATGATAATAGCGGCGGCAAGCCAAGACCAAGAGGTGGGGGCCTCCTCGTAGACGCCACCCGAGTGACACACGACAGGGCATGTTGTGCGTTTTGTTCCGAGCAGATAACAAGACGGCCGAAATCTATTTTTCGCGACCGGCTAATGGATACCACTTTTGTGCGCGTGCAAAGCATTTCGCGAAATATTTGTTGTTTTTTTTGTTTGTTTGTGACAAGCGTCGTATTTTTTTTAAACCAGTTGCCGTCGAAATCTCGACGCATCTACTGGTGTTTAAATTCGATGAATTATCATGCGAACCTGTCGCCGTCGTCATTTAATCATCGGATTTATTCGCGTTCACAGTTGTATAAAATATATCAACGGGTTTTTGTCGTAGCGCCAGCGAAAATATTACACACAATAAACCGACCGGCAGACGATTTAGATGTGCACTCTTTTATCGACGGTGTAAACAGTATTTTTACACGTTATAAAGTGGTATTGGCAAACGGTTCGAAGAGCAGACACAAAACACGCGACCGGTTGTGTCGCCTCTCTTGTCCGCCTGCCGTAGCAACAGTTATAATACGCGTAATGGATTCGGTTGAAAAAATCACGTATTTCGGGTAAAAAAAGGAAATCAGAATTAATAACCAACGAAAAAACTACTCGTTGCATTATCGTTTACTCGAAAACGTCTTGTATGTGAACGCCGGTACAAGAAGTTTACAAGATAATGAGTTTTAAGAGCATGTTGTGAGTAATGCCGTCGAATTTACAAATGATTATATTAAGTGCCTTGAGAAATCTATTGACATATTTGTAAATTGAAAAATTGTACACTGACCACAGAAAGCCCACCTCGGTAATTGAAAACGAGAAATGTGTTATTTGTGGCCGTATGTCATCTGAATAATTCTGGCGGTAATAATAACTGGTTTTCTGGTCTCAATTAAGACTACCAAAGAGCCAATGTATTTTTTCGTTGTTCTCGTTGTAAGGAATTAAAAACAGCTACGCCTTCGTAAATGAATAACGGATAATTTTAAGAAATTTCATACGTTTTTTTATTCTATACTAAGTATTTTCCAGGCGAGTATTGGACAGAATTATTGTAGATATTCACAACAATAACAAAATAAGCCAATGCGATCCGTTGTATTAAACTATTTCTAGTCTGACGAAAAGGAGTTATCGAATCGAGTTCCGTGTCAATGTGATCAAGTGGCAACAATAGTAATAAGGTGCAGTTTTTCTTAACGAGTTCCTGCCTTGTTACGCTTTAATCTAATAGGGACCATCGTTTATTATATATGCTTACAATAATATAATAGACGAAATAAGCTTTTCTTGAAAAAAAAAAAATAACCTCGCGACTAGTCAATGGGTACCATGACATTGCCGAAAATGATGTTAATAATAACGATTTTTATTTCCTAATCATATTATTATGGCCGGGCAACTGGCCAGCGTATATCCAGAGCACAATTATTATTACCCGACGGAGGGGCGCGCGCGCTCTGAGATGACGGCGGTGTTCGCTCGAGACGGCATAATTATCTTCTTATTCAATTAGAACGTTTTTATTATTATTATTTTTTTGCTCACCCGGGGCTTGCGCGGTCATTAGGCCAGTCATTATTAAATCAAACACGGGCCAAGCCATCATCAATCAAACGCGCGATGTAGAGACCCAAATGAAGACGTATTTTCATCGTGTGAACTTGTTCTGGCTATCCCGTGAAAATGTTTTCCCGACATTATTCCAGAACAACTCGGACCGTTCGTTGACCGCATAAAAAACCTACCGTACCGACTGTAAATAGTTGTCGTCGAAAGAGATTGCTCGTACAGCGTATCGAGTGGCTTATGAAAACGGAAGCATTTGTATAATATGATTAAATAGAATACATTACAGTTGTGACGGAGTAGTGGTGATATTGACGATATTTTATGGAAACATAATTGTAAAATATATCGGTTGCGTTTAAAATACCTAATCAATAGTAATGGAATCAAGTATGCGCGTCTCGTGTAAAGGGTTATTAGGTATACCCATAAAGTATAATTTAAACAATTAGTGATTTAATATTCTTTGGGCAAATCGATCAACATCTATGCGATTCAAATCACATCGTGGTTTACCCGAATGTGCTTTATTATGCTAAACGATAATACAAGTACTTTATTTTTTTATTTAAAAACTATATAAATGAGGTCGTTAGCATATTAAACGAATGATTACTATTGTAACGATATTGTCTATCGTCCAGTTGGAAAACGCATTTACTATTGTTTCTATGAGACAGTTTGATTGTTATTCTCAGTGTACTTCCGAGGCTCGTGTCCGTTTACCGTGTACAATAATCACGGGAAAACTATGACCGTGTCTTTAACCCAATGAGTCGTGGGACACGTGCTCGCGTCTGAACGCGTGACGTCCAAAATACCTCGGCGGTGTACTCACAAATGTATCGGCACATTTGATTACTCGGCCACCGAGCAATGCGTTAGCTGGACGGACGGGTATCGTTTACACGACGGACGGCGCCGTTTGAACAGATTTCCATTGGGGTCGCGTGGGCGCAGTGGCTTTTATTTTCCGACGGGTGCTGTGTAACCGGACGGGCGCATTTTCGGGGACGGTGCGGTAGTTAATACGGCGTGAGTACATAAAAATGAGTAATGGACAGAAAAAGCTGTAAAACCAAAATAATTTCACCGTCCATTGGTGTCGCCACGGTGCCGCTAATGGGTTGTAAAATAAAAACACGAACACGGCTACCGTGTGCGCGCGTGTGTGTGTGTATCGGCGCGCGCCCGGCGAGCGTGGGACGCGTGGGAACCGCTCGTGGCCGGCGGGACGGACGCGCAAGGTCGTGCGGCTATTTGAATGAACGCACAAAATAGAGGTACGCACATAACGTTTTGAAAAATCGGAAAACACGCAAATTGTGCGGTCGAAAAAAAATAACAGAAATTTTGTTTTTTTCGAGTGAGCGATCGACATGATATTACGATGTAATGCACGTGGTGCGACCAGTCGATATTGGAATGTCCGTATCTTTCCGGTGTATATTTATTTTGTAAACGTCTGTTTAATAAAACGTTTCTCAGACGATCGTACGAGGCGGATCCGACCGGATCACCACTAGCACATTCGGTTTACCGTTTAATATATGCGTGCCGTGTGTAAAAGAAAACCTTAATACTCCGTGTCGGTGGTACATTGTAATAGCTGTTGAAGAGCCATCAACCCCGCGGCTATGGTAATGACACGTAATTGATACGTGAACAGTGCTGGGTGGAGTGGACTTCGGGGTAAGAAGCGTTTAACGTGAATAAATTCTCACGGTTTACGAGCGTGCGGATCACAACAAAATAATATGACATTTATCTGTTAAATAAATGTCCATGTTGTGCGCTATATTTCGTATGGCGGCGGTGCTGATGAACTCGACACCGATTCATCTCCACCACACTGTAAATTATGTGGACAATTTCTCCGTGTCGATAAAAATGGTGGTTCGTTAGAGCCTAACAAACTTACTCTCTTATTTATCGGCAAAACACGTTTTCAATGGAAGTTTATTTTCAGTTAAGTGGACGACGACGACGCATTTAAATAAACGGCAAACGTATAAAAACAAAATCGCCGTTTGGTCTAAAGGATATCGTCGTTGGCGGCGGAGCGGTCGCAAAGACACTCTCTCGGCAATGCCGTAGCGAATTTTATTGCGCGATCGTAAAAATCAATAGATCCAAGTGGCGTCCTCCGCGGACGGGTCGCACGGTGGAGGATCTGGTGCGTTCGTTTTGTATACGCGTTACTCGCCCATATGGAAATGTGAAGGCTCATTACTGTGGGAAGATTTATTGGTGCCGCGGTCGCGTCAAACTGCGCGTTGATTAATTACGACCGGACCATTGTGGCGGCGGTGACTGTTCTTCTTCGTCAGCGCGTCACACACATTGCCGCGGCACAGCCGAAGAAATCCAATTGTAGAAAAAAATAAAAGATATTTACCTTGTTGGAAGTAGTTGGCTTTCCGGACGTAAACGCAGACCAGAGCCATTAATTGCAGTTGCGACAACCGTTGCCGGGTCGATGGCGGCAGCGGCAACAGGTCTCGCAGGTTGGCGATCTCCGCGTTGATCAGGTCCCTCCGGAGTTTACTGGCTCCTTTGGTAGACTTGGTGGCGTCAAACCTGTCGACAAACAATAACCATAAGAAACCGTAGAAATATTAGCCGTTAGAAATGTTACGCGTTTAAATCATCGACCAGCAAATTAACATAATTATTCGGTCCAATTGGAAACCCAAGTGCTAATTACGCGCGCGAGCCTATAGGCCAACTGCGCGATTGAACGCGTTTAAAAGGACAACCAAGTCGGGACGGGAAAGTGTACACCAGTTTCTGAAACAGATCGTCGTCAACAACAATGCGTGTGTAATGGACGCCTACGAGGGCCACGGTGGCCGGGCGTCTTAATTAAATGCTTGCGCCGCCGGTAGTGCGGCCGGCGAGAGTTTCCAATGCGGCGTCCTGTGTGCGCCCACGCAATCACTCAGCGCCGGCAACGCATAGGCCGTTGTATCGATTAATGGGCTCCGATAGAGCTGACGTTGCCGCCGGCGCCGTGTTCGCTGTCCGGCAGCTTTGCCGATTTGATATTGGGTATTTCGAAAAGTTATTATTAAAAAAGAAAGTATTAGGTGGTCGAAAACAATTTATGGATAAATTATAATGCACGCGTTGGACCCGTAAAGCTTGTAATTAAAAAAAAAAAATAACATAACGGAATAATGAGAACGAAATATCTGAAGCGTACAAATGTGCCGTGTTTTCAGCGACTTTCGCTATTTAACGACTGTGCTGCCAGTTAATTGTAACAAAATCAATACGATTGGTCGGGAGGTCGAGAAAAAATAAAACATTATTGAGCTTGTAGACCGAATTATACAGCGAAATGGGCGCCGGAAATGTAGGCGCCATAATTTTGTAATTTTTTAATCTTATAGCCGAATAAGTGTTTGTTTTGGCCTCGTGAGTAATCGCTCGAATATGTTTACCGCGACAATTAGCACATTACAATTTTAATAACCGGATTTTTGACGATTTTTATTGCCGGATCACGTGTAAAGGTACCCGCAACAGTAATGCGCGGGGGACGTTATGCCAGTTCGTTACAATACGATTTTTACCGGCACCGGGTTTTGCGGTGTAATATTTATTGTAATGCGTTCCTCGAGAGCAGTTTGCATATATATATATATATATGTGCGAGCTCGCCGTTTGAATAAATGTGATGTTAATAAAACTGTGTAATGAACGTGTATCGTGGAATATAAAACGGGGGGAGGGGGGCTTACAAAATTATCGTCGACATGTCCAACCGACCGGGAGAAAATATTCGCCACTGCGATTTGTATTATAGCGAATACTTTATGAAGCAGAAATTGCGGACAACGGAAGTCAGTCTCGGCATATGTTGCCAATAAAGCCGCCGGCATTAGAATTTACAAACGCATTGGAATAAACAATCATTTTCTCGCCGAAACCGACCGGTGTTATCCATCTTGTTGTCAATCTGCCGAGACATGACCTGTCGTTGGATATGTCATCCGGCTACAATGTTTTTTTTTTAATGTAATACTCTAGTCATTGGCGCAACCGCTTTAATTTTTTCTTTATCGTCGTTAATACAATGTAATGTGCGGTAAACGCACATAATTCCATCGGATTTCTAGTCCATCTTGGAGTGTTTTGTTTGCGTTTTTGAACAAACACTCGTGCGGTGGCAATCTCGAGAACGACCAACGCTTGTGTCAATATGTACCCAATGCCCGAACGGTAGTGATGAACGTTTCCCACGGACCTTTTGACTTTCGTTTGTTTGCCATGGTTTTATAGAAATTCATTTCTATATGTATTTTCTATTAACTAATTAAATGTATAAATTACTTGAAGACATTGACCGCCGAGTGTAAACAAAATCGTGCTGAATTATAATTTTTTTAATGGCTAATTACAATTTGGGTTCGTAGCGAAAAACAATTTTTCTATTTTATTTTACTCTATATAATTTTTTTTACGGTTTTTTGGATATAACTTTATACATCGTATACACTAAAAAATGGATAGTTTTGAAACAATTATAAACGTTTATAGAGTCCGAAACGGAGTTCCGGTACATGATAATAACATAGTTTAGTACATCGCTGCATTGTGTACGTTTTGATTGATATCTGAGCAGGTAAATGACGGCGCCGACTACAACTTCAAACAATATTGTGATTTCCCATGGTAAACCGCAGCCGTGCGGCAATTCAGCGAGCCAGTGCGGTTGTCATCATTATCCGACTATACGTCATCGAGTTAGAAGAAAAAAAATATGTATATATATTTTGATGTACGACATGTTGAACACTTCCAACATACATTGAGCAAAACTCATTATGAATATAAACGCGTTTTAGTGATTTTCATTCATAAAACTTATTCATATAACTGTTCGAACTGTTCGATATAAGAATACAGAGAAATTAACAAAATTTATCATAACCGTGGAAGTTGTTTTTAATTATTTTACGCTATTAAGTGGCGTTTTCGCGATGGTCCACAAAATATACACGACCACCTATCACAATCGCCGACTTGGTGTACAAACGATGTGTCAAAGAATTTTACACGGATCCGCATTATATTATACGTGTAAACACTTGTCGGTGTAACGGTCGCATGTGTTGTAGATGGTTTTCAGATAGGCCTGCGTGAGACAAAATAATATGTTGTATGTTAGAAAAATCGAAAAAACAAATAATAAATTTTCAACGCGAGGCGCTATGGGCGCAAGTTTGTCACCTGATTTAGAGACGCTGTAAAGTTGTTCTCGAAACAAAAAAAAACGTTGCGTAGAATTGCGGTCGATGGCAAGCGGAGGGGTGAACTTGACGATTATAAAATATAAACGTATTTATTTTACACTCGTATGGAATATAATATTATGTGCGAGTATTAAAATATGCAACTGACCACGGTAATAATAATAAACGTCGACCGACAAGTGTAATTTAATGGCTGACCGGTAGAAATTAAAGGAGCTCTACTGGAGACAAACGACGTGTAAAAAGTCACCTCGGCTCTATGTCGTAATAATAACAATATATAATATGAACTGATACGGCAAACGAGTATAGAATAATATAAACGATAATGTCTCTCGGTGCGACCATATTATTATTATTATTATTATAATCGTATTCGTCCGGGTTATCTATCTGTACGTGTGTTATTCGCTATGTATACTTGACTGCGGTGCAGCTTGTGAGAGCGCTCGTTGATTTGTAAAACGTTGGGATTATATTATGGAAACCGAGCTTGTTTATGTGACACGGCCGATTGAATGATTAATCCGGGAAACTTGGGGCATAATACCCGTGTACGCGTTTCACGAGTATCTGCACATTGAACGACGACTAGCTCTTGGCCCTGTTGCTCGTTCCACAACCGCATTGGTAGATCCGCCCTTAAGGACCGAAGAAAAAACCAATATCGTTTCGTGGATAGTAATCCTATTGGATATTTAATAATTTTGATTCAGTTTTACGAATAATTGCAAACTTAACATGATACTGTGTCATCTGTCAACACGCGGAGTACAAAAGTGGTGTCACCGCTAGTATTCAATTTTAAAATGTTTAGAATTTTCACTAAACAACACCAATGCGCTCTTTGTGGTTTTAAAGAATTTAGGAAATATTTTAGCGGTTAGAATGTGGCATACATTCTCGCGTGTGGTAAGATGTAATATATTTTGACAGGAGATTGATGTGCGCTTTTGTGGGCATACCAACCTCACTGAAACGTGTTGATGAATGGGCGCAACTCAACTGTCGTCGGTCATACACAAGCGGTGACATCCCATCGTAAGTCTATAGCACTTGGCAATATAGTAAAATTTCATTTGGGTTATTGATATGTTACCCTAAAGCGTTTTGTTTTATGGAATAATGTTGTCACGGTAATTAGAAAATGTGTTCAAGTGTAATTTTTTTGTCGACTAAGCATGACACCTTTTTCTTATGATAAAACCTGTCGTGTGCTGTAAACAAGTAAAGCGTTTGTCGTCCAATTTATTGAAAATTGAGTGTTCTTGCGACGGAGACTTTAATGCTTGTCACTTGGCAGTGTCAAAGGGCTCACACAGAAATTTTTCATGGAGGAACAAAATAATTTGTTAAATATTTGGTTTCACTGTCTGCTCAACAGACCCAGCGTTGAAAGGGTTAGGATTATATGGTTTATCGACCAGGCTTTTTCGAAGGTCTCGCCATAGGCGTAACAAGAAAGAGCTTAGCTACCTTAGTTAACGAGAAAATACAATTTAGTATCCTCAAAAATATTATTCTAATAGACAATTAAGGGTTCCCAGAAAAAAAAGCTATAAATAGAAGATTTGTTTTATTATTTTTATGTATTATTTATAGAATTAAGTGTCTCTATACACTTGATAAATAAAAATAAAAATCACGTGTCATTAATCTATAAAAAACAAATGCTCTTAATCCTGGCATTCATAATATTATTTAATAAAAATATAATTGTTTATCTTTTAATTAAAATTTAATTAAATTTTTTATAATATACAATGATTATGATAATTGACCAAGCTAAATGTTAAGAAGGAGTGAACTGTCCCCTTTCCCCCTGCGGACGCCTACGGCAATGTCTTTGATAGAATTACTGTACACTCAATTGGCTCAATACAGGATGTTCATGTTTTACTCGCTATTAAATTGTTATCGTATCATTTTTTTAAACGGTCTTTATTGCTTCGAAGATATGATGATATATTATGTCGAAAGAATATTTATAGTGAAAATCTCTGTGGTAAACAAAACTCGAAGTCGTTTATATATAGTTGATACGTACACATATTATTGAAAAAAAAACATATATACGCATACAAACGAGACCCACTACAAATACCTCACCTAATGGAATGATAAATACCACTCGGGTGTAATTTATGTCCGTGTACTCAGTCGTATACATCACATGACACGTCATTTGAAAGACTTAAACTAAAGTTTTATTTTCTAAAAGTGATAATTATTATTGTACGATATTACGTTATTAGGAGTATGTTGAGGGCTTTACATGATAATATATGTATTCATATTATTTTTCCATGTGAAGTATTA